AACTTGAAATTATTTTTGTTAAAAAGTTTAATAATTTTAGCACATACGACCTTACAGATAAAAAATAGTGAATTTTATATAGTGTTTTTTTTTTGTGTGTTTTTTTTTTCGAGACTTAGCAAAACAAATTCACGGATTTGAATGAGAAGAATGACGTCAAAATGCACAAAAGTTTTTCATCCTTTAATTTGTTTTCGCTTAGTTTAATTTGTAAATGGAAGGAGAAAAAAGTAAATATTTATAAGATAGCGAGGGTCACAAAGCACTGTCCAAGCCTCCCCCACTTTTCTTCTACTATTTGGTTACTATAAAATAATGTCTTAAATAGTATATTATCCCTTTTAGTTTTAGTAGGTTAGAGATTAGAAGATACAATGAAAGCATAACGTGCCTACGTACAAGCCACAAATGTAATAAACGCATAAGCGTAAAAAAAAAAACAAAAAAAAAAAACAATAAAGTTATGAAAGATATGTTGATGCAATTCCATGTCTCCTTTGAGAACTCCAGCTAAAAGAATACTAATAAAAAGAGTTTTTTTTTTTTTATTCCAATCGCTCATTGTAAACTGAATAGTTGCGAAACTCTTCGGCATATGTAGGTAAAGCTGGAAAGCCGAAAGTACGTTTACTTAAAAACGTGGTGGAATCCAATCATTTAGTGGGAGGAGAATTACTGCCCACGTTGCATCGGACTGAACTGGTGTCGTGTGGCATTTGGTGACAGGTGGTTATTCCTCTGGTCAGACAGGTAAGTACGAATCCAATGGATAAGAGCTGTCGCCAAGTGTTAGTCGGACAACAGTGATTTCCTATTAAATTGAGAAAGAAAGAAAGAAAGAAAGAAAGAAAGAAAGAAAGAAAGAAAGAAAGAAAGAAAGAAGGAAAAAAAAAAAAAAGAAAAAAGAAAGAAAAAGAAAGAAAAAAGAAAGAAAGAAAAAAGAAAGAAAGAAAGAAAAAAGAAAGAAAGAAAAAAAAAGAAAGAAAAAAGCAAGAAAGAAAAAGAAAGAAAGAAAAAAAAGAAAGAATCTCAGAGAGAGAGAGAAAGAGAAAGAGAAAGAGAGAAAGAGAAAGAGAGGGAGGAAGGGTTTTCGGCGTACGCAGATAAAGAGAAGTTGAAATGCGCATGCTTGCATACGCACAAACATACATTCATAGTATTGCTTGTAGTTGTGTGTGTATATTCATCTAAATATAGAAAAAGAGAGAAAGGGGTAAAGATTTCAAATAGAGGATGGCGTATATATTCAAACATGTATGTGTGTATGTAAAAAGAATTGGAAGTGGGGTTAAAAAAGGATAGTACGCTTGAATAGACAACGGAAAGCCTAATTCGTACCTGAAAATAGAAAGGGCGAATAAAACAAGCGAGAAAGGAAAATACTTAAAAATATATCAATGAAAATCGAACGGAAAATGAAAGTTAAACCAAACGTATTCATATCCAATCATATCTGCAGTAACAGGTGGAGAGTGCAGCAAAGAGAATAGAAGAACGTCGGAAGAGAAAGTGGGAAAGAAAGAGAGGAAAGAATAACAGAGGTGGGAGAAAATAAGAAAAAGAAGGAGGGAAATTTAAAGAGATTGCTGGTGGTGTCGGTCTCCGTGATTTCAGAAGAGAAAATTAACTGAAAATATCAGACGTCATGATTCAGACGCTATTCGTTCGACACTGACGATTTTTCCTTTTTTTTTTTTCTTTTTTTCTTTTTCTTTTGGATACGTGGAACGCGAGAAATCTTTGAAAGGACACAAATTGGCCAAGGAAAAAAAGTAAAAAAGTAAAAGAAAGCATAAAAAGGAAAAGGAAACAAATCATACTAAAAATCCGTAAAAAAAAAAAAAACTAGAAAAAATGAAACCCTGCGTTTTGTATGTATTTTTATTTATTGTGTCTTATCATCGTCTAATTCATGCTGACGTGTTCAGTGCAATTTACAAAATTAAAGAACTAACCGAAGTTGAGAATAGTTTATTAACGTCTTTGCAAACCTATATCGAAGCGAGGGACAAAGCCGAAAAACCAGTACAAGACAATATAAAAACGTAAGTAGAGCGCTTTGAAACGCTTGCTTATTTTATATTTTTTTTAAAAAGAGTGTTACTGTTAAGTAACCGATTTACAGGAATATGATGATGCTACCTCAGTTTGAGAAGAGAAAAGAAATTAATCTTGAACTTTATACATCTTTATTCTACCAACACGGGAATCTTCTGTAGTACAGTGGTTAGTAAAGCTGTCTTGCGGGGACCATTCATTGGTAACTTCACAACGATGGCCTTGTACCAAACTAAGATAAGCTTACTAATAAACATCTGTATGGGCGCTTATCGTAGTACAATGTTTATCAAGGTTTTCTCGAGGATATCCAACAGACACCAACGGTTTATATATATATATATATATATATATATATATATATATATATATATATATATATATATAATAAAAATATACGGAAAAAACAAACAAAAATCCTAATATGCAATTATGCTGTTTTAATGTTAATTATATATTTTTATGAATATGTCCTGAACATGGTCTATTAGACCGAAACGTCCGACATTGACATTATATTAACATTAAAACAGCATAATTGCATATTAAGATTTTTGTTTGTTTTTCCGTATATTTTTCTTCATAATGTCGGATCTATATCCATATATTTGCTTATATATATATATATATATATATATATATATATATATATCAATAGTATATTATATATATTTATATATAAATATAGAAAAATCGTTCTGGTTTTGATATAAACATTTATATAATAATTTAAAAAATTTAATTTATTGCAACTTTTATCCTCAAACGTTTCAACGCATTTTCCTTACAGTTTTGTCTTTAATTCCGACCAGAAGAAGACGAGATCAACAGAAAAGGAGGAAATTTTTTGCTTTAAGAATATATTATATATATATATATATATATATATATATATATATATATAGCCAATTTCATTTAGTTTCTTCTTTTCTTTTGTTATTAAGTGTATTGTGATAACAGAAAATCTGCCAAGAAAGGGCAAATGTAAGAACCTGGATGCAAAAAGAATGTAGATGATCTAGCGATTATTAACGCAATTTCTATACACATTCATCTTAGTAAATTACTTTGTCTTTTGATTTAAAAAAAGCATTTTTAAATGTTTATATACGCAAACACATTTTTAAAAAATACTAAGATTAAAATTTCAGCATTCCCTCCCCTTTTGTGCACATCTGTAGTTAACTTAACGTAAACATCACTTAAATCCGATGAATCCTTAAAGATGAAACGCGTCACACGAAAAAAATGTATTTACACTTTGTTATTGATTTACATAACATTATCAGATATATATATATATATATATATATATATATATATATATATATATATATATATATATATATACAGCGTAATATATATATATATATATATATATACAGAGTGAGATAGAAAATAATAAAAAAAAATAATCTAAATGAAATCGATTATCGAGATTATACACCAAACACATATAAAAAAGGAAAAAAAAGGCATGTGTTGTCGTACAAACGTAAACAAATTCAGGGAACAAAACGCGTTACACGAAAAAAATTGCCATTTGAATAGTTGTTGTTCTTTCAAGCGGCATCATTTGTGGGTCTGTAAGTAATATAGTAATTTTTGACTGTTAGCTCACCATTTTACTTTGCCTTTGTATCTCAGCTTAAAATTTATTTTACATCGAACCCATGAGCTCAGCTGTGCTTTTATTAATTACTGATCAAATAATTGGTAACATCACTGCTAGGGTTTATTAAACAATTTGGTTAAAATATTTATTTACTCTAATGATTACACAACACCCACATTTAGGGGTAGAATCTCTGACTGATGCCAAATCGGTCGGGTTTCGATCCTGGCTTGAAGCAATCGGATGTCTAGCCACACTGATGATGATAAAAAATATAGCGAAACTATATATATATATTTACATTAAAAAGACTGTTATCCTCAACTTTTTATTGATATATTTTGTAATCAGGGATTTCGGCCATTGTACGCCCCGGCCTTCTTCAGGTGATATACATTGAATTTTCGAATCGAACGCTTTTAAAAGAATAAAATACATCGCCCAGTGGATAGAAGCGTTGGTTGAAGTAATCCAGTGACCTGATCCAAAGAGTTGTGAGTTCAATACCTTGCCACAGGTGAAGAAAAACTTGGAGAGTTGAGTTACTAAAGGGAAATAACTGAAACTAAGATATCCAGAAAAGGCATGGCATGTGGAAAGAGAACAATCTACCCCAGTGGACTAAATAAAGGATTTCGGTTCAAAAATTTTAAATATATATATCAGAAGATGAAGGCCGGAGCGTAAACGACCGAAACAACAGTTCAAAAAATATGACAATATAGATGAGTATATATATCCAAATATATAAATGAAGACTTATAAATCATTCAAAAATAAATATATATATATATATATATATATATATATATATATATATATATATATTTCCAAAATATATATATATATATAAATATATATATGTTATATGTATATTATATATAATATATATGATTGTTTTTAAAAAATGAATTTTTTGAAGCAGATTGACAGTCCACTGTTTTTATTTCTGTTCCATTTAATTTTTATTTTACTTAATTTTTCCAAATTTCCTTCCCTGACTGAATATTTATTGTGGTGGTGATGGAGGCAGGATTGATAATTAAGCCCCGGATTTTGCAATTTTTTTTACTTATCACGGTGGGTTCGTACCTCATTCCAACATTTTCTATTTTGACGAGGACAATAGTTCGAATAAAATAAAGGCTATTCGCTGCAGACGTTGGAGTACAAAAGAATATGATAAAGGAAAAAATAATTTCTATGTTTATAATTCTTAAATAAAACAGTTAATTAAACCATTTCTTATAACCAACACAACATTAAAGAGCATCCTGTAAACGCTCACCGAATTATCAAACGGAACATAATTTAAATTAAAGAACTGATGGAAGAAGTCAACTGCCCAGACTGTGAGTCTGATAATAATACAGAAGGTAAATATAAAAATACAAGACTGAATTGTTTTGATTGATTCGTTTTGTTGATATGGCTTATAGGAATAATTTTGTTTTTTTTTTATTTAAAAGCCGGAAAATTTTTAAGATTGTAACATTTTTTTTAGATAATAATGGTATATATTTTATAAAGTATTTACTGTTCTTTAATCCATAGTGAAGGAGAAGAGGTCGATTAAATATTTCCCAAAGGTAAAAAGATTTATAATATTTAATACCCAAATAAATTTTTTTTGATCTCCGAAAACAAATTTAAATTATCAAAAACAACAATTAGCTGCATTTTTTTTGGTATTCCCAAGCAAAAAGAAATTATATAGGTATTTTTATAAAAATGACTTTTTAATAAAACCAGAATATCATTTAAAACCTCTGTTAAAACATGATAATGTAATTTTTTTTTAAAAAAAAAAAAAAAAAGTAATTTAACGAATAAAATAAATTTTGAAAAGATTAATTAATTTATTGATTTTTTTAAGAAATTTATTGAAATAAAAGCTTTAAAAGAGTATCAAGGTCAGCATTATAGAATGAGATGTATCATATAAACATAAACTTACATTATTTGAAAATTATTGTCTTAAACGAAAAAAAAATATTTATGAAAATGAATTTAAGATTGCACTGTTATGGGGATATTCATGGTATGGAATTTCATAAAACAAAGTAGATTATTTGGGATAAAAAATATTTTGAATGGAACATTCCTTTTTAAAGAAGATTATTAAGGAAGAAATGATTATTCAATTTTTATTGGAATAAAAAAAAATTTTTTTAATGTAAATATAAAATTAAGCATAAAAAATATATAGGTATTGAATTTTTCGTCTAATCATTTGCTAATCAAATTAGAATTAAAAATACAAAAGCTGACATTTATATAAGAAATATAATGTATATGGAAAAAGAAATATCAAAAGGTTGAGGATTGTGAACTTTGTTTATTTGTTTTCATTAAAATTCATTTTAATATTAAATCAATCCGATCTTTTAGTTGTTTATCCCAATTTCATCTTTTAACTGATCAAAATAGCCCATTAAAATTTTATAAAAGGAACCTGGTAAATTCAGTATTTTCAGAGAATTCTGTTTACGAAACAATGTTGACATGTATATGTTACGAATAAAAAAACTTGACAATCCAAATATGGCAAAAAAAATGATATGGTTCAAATTTATTGTTAAATAAGGCATTAGGGTTTCTATTTCAGAAATGTTTTTCACCATTCCATACGATCTGTTCATTGATTTTCATTTGTTTAATTCCAAATTAAGTGGATTTCCAACAGTTTTTTTTAACCGCCATTATACGCTAATAAACAAGGTCGGTCGGAACCAAAAGAAAAAACCATCTGGCGAGACTCGAACGCGATCCCTATATCTACCCCCATTTAAAGTAAAAAAAGGGTTCAGTTAACATGATTAAAAAAGACATATAAACTTGAAGAAAAAGAAAATTTTTATCATCTAAATCTTTTATTATTATTAAGAGGAAAGACCAAAGTTTATTTAATTATTTAAAATTTTTTCCTTCTTTTAGAACATTCTAAATTTTGAAAAAAAACCTTTTTCAATAAATTTGTATCAACTGGAACTAGTAAAATAACATATACAATTTATAGTTTGTTTTTTTTTTTTTTTTTTTTTTCACCTTACATTAATTTCGAAAAAATCTAAAAAAAAAAAATAATTGTCGGATGTTAATGAAACTTTCAGAAACTGATATTCACAGATGATTGGTTATTATTATAAATATTTTTTTTATAAAAAGATTCAAAGAACATTTTTTATATATATTTAAATATTTATATATAGGCATAACTAATATTTGAAAAATTAAACTGGCATCGGACTTGTTTAGTGATTACAATAAAAGTGTAAGGGCTTTGAGGAATGCAAATCATGTTTTTTTTTGTTTTTAATTTGACTGAAATAATTGTTTGAAAAATTTCTGAGCGTTATCATATAAAAACTCAATTTAAAAACAAAGATATTATTTAATTTCAAATGCTTTTATTTTTATTCAGATATATAAATTTTATGAATATGAACATTATTTTCTGAAAATTAAAAACATTTTCAATCAAAAAATGAATTTTTTAATATTATATTTGTTATTTTAAATATATAATAGATTTTTACATTTGAATGTTAAAATATTATAAAATTAGTTAAAAGCCGCATCGGGTTTCCTAATTAAAAATATGAGATAGAATTTTTTTTTTTTTATATAAATATTTGGTTTCAATCATATTTTTGACTAATCAAAAGATCCAAGTAATTAAAAAATGTAATTTTTGTGTTTATAATTAGGCTTTAATTATAAATTAACGGAAGACCAATATTAGAATACAATTGGTTGAATTTATTTGAGTTAAGCATTTTGATATCTATTAAGGACTTTTACTTTTGAGAAAAAGATGGAGAAGTTAATTTGATTTTTTCAATTTCAATGTGAGAAGGGTAACTACATATATCATTATCATCTTATAAAATTTATATAATAAAATTTTTATATAGTTCAATTATTACATTTTATATATTAATTAATATTAAAATCTTACTTATTATGTGTGCAGTTGTGTGTGTGTGTGTGTGTGTAACGTTTATATGTTGGATCGAATTTCCTACATTTTTTAGCCGATTTCAACAAAACTTCACAGGACTACATAAAATTACCTTTTGGTGGTTCTAACGGGGCCGAAAATGGGAAAAACACAGTTGTTTTTTAATAAAATCAATTTGAAAACACGATTAAGACACATCGTGAGAATGAAAGGGGGACAACTCACCCACGAAAATGTAAACAAAAGAGCATAGCATGATGAAAAAGACGCCGAACTTGACGAAAACAAAATTTTATCGTCTAATGTTCATATTATTATTAAAGAGGAAAGATCAAAGTATTTTGGGGGTATTTTTTTACATTTTTAATCGTTCCTAGCACGTCTGAAATTTTCGTTAAAAATATTGTTTTTTTTTTGGTAAAAAAAAGGACAGATAATCAATCATTTTCAATCATTTTTTTCGATTTGATAAAAAAGATTAAAATCTTACTTTGATATTCTTTTAAAAATCAATTATCATTTTTTCAAAACTGATTTTAATAAAAACAGAAATTATACTGTTTATTTAAAATATTTTGAACCAAGCTTAACTTAGCTTCTGCGCCGAAAAAATGTAATTTGAAAATAAAACAAAGCAGGTCATAACCTTTCACGTCGCTTGACGATTGACGAAAGGCACATTCATGACGTTTAGATAACTTACGGGAGGGTAATTCTTTCTACGGATGGAAGGAAGTGAAATTATTTAAGTGAACAAATTATTTACCTTGTTACTTTTAAGGAAAACTTTCAGCGCTCTAATTTTTTATTTTTTTTTTTTTTTTTTGTACTTAGCTTTCATTTTTACGTTTACGATGCTTTATGGAAAATATAAAGAAATTAAAAAATAAGACTGTTAATAGTGAGATTAAATTTCATAAGAAAAAGGTATCTAATTAATTTAGGTAACCTTTCTTATGAAATTTTATCAGAAGTGTACATAAAATACTATAATTTTATGTACATTTATTTTTTACTGTGTTATTTGTATTTCCATTCATTTTATTATTAATTTTGATATTTCATTTATGGAAAAATGTCATAACTGAGATTAATATAAAAATAAGATCATATAAATTAAAGTTTAGCAGTAGTTAAATTTCATAAGATGATACTGTTACTTGTAGGTACCCTTCTCAGTTGAAATTGAAAACTCAAATTAACTTCTCCATACGTGTTTCGCAAAAGTAAAGGGCTTAACAGCGGAGAACAATGCTGAACTCAAATAATGCAACTAAATTGTATTCTGGTTGGTCTTCCGTACTTGATAATTACTGTCCGACTATAAACACAAAAATTACATTTCTTAATTACCATGGCTAATCTGATTGGTCCAAATTATACAATTTTCAAAGCGCTAGACAATGACAATCTCACACGGACATTTTGAAAGGTTGATGTTGCTTTTAACTAATGTTAAAATATTTTTTAAAATTCAATTTAAACATTTTTTAAAAATTTTTTAAAATTAAAGAAATAAGAAATAATTGTATTAAAAATTCAATTTTCATTGAAAAATTTTTTGCTTTCAGAAAATATTGTCCATATTCATAAAAAACAAATTAAAACAAATAAAAGCATTTGAAACTAAATAATATATTTGTTTTATTGAGTTTTGTATGTTACAATTCACAGCTGATTTTCAGGTACGTTGGCAAAAAAAAAAAAAAAAAAAAAAAACATGATTTGCATTCTTCAAAGCCTTGTGCTTTTTTAATTATTGTAATCACTAAAACCGATGGTCTCGAATTTCTAGAGTTTTTCATAAAATTAGTTATGGGGTGTTAATAAATATAAAAAAAAATATTTCTGCCATGACTTTAATAAAAAAAAAACATATTTATAATAATTTCGATCATCTGTGAATAGTTTCTGAAAGTTTCATTAACATCTGACAATTATTTTTATTTTTGCAAGATTTTCCAAATTAATGTGTGTAAATACAAAAAAAACGCGCTAAAAATTATCTATGTTATTTACTACCCCTTGTTGCGACAAAGAGAAACAAGGTTTTTTAAATCAAAATTTAGAATATTCTAAAAAGATGGAAAAATTTTAAAAAATAATTAAAAAAAAATTTAGTCTATCCTCTTCATAAAAACATAAGCATTTTGACGATAAAATTTTGTTTTCATAAACTTTGGTGTTTTTCATCAGACTATGCTCTATGTTTTAGCGATTCCGTGGAGTGACTTAGGTTAAAAACCCAGGTTGTTTTGTGTGTGTGTTGTTGTGTTGTGTGTGTGTGTGTGTGTGTGTGTGTGTGTGTGTGTGTGTGTGTCCTTTATATATGGGATCGGATTTCTTACATTTTTCAGCCGATAAAACAAACATCCAATTTTTTTTTTTTGGCAGGTAGTATTTCTTATTGTCTTGCACACTTTTTTTCTTTATTTACATTCAGAATGCTTTAAAAATTCCATTTACAAGACAATTGTTTATAATAAAATTCTATTCACCAATCGATAGACTCATAACGATTGTAAACAATGTTTTTGTTTGAATTTGGGTTTGACCAATTTAAAAAAAAAAAAAAAAAAAAAACTAATTTAAGACTTGCATGTCCGTCAACCTTAAACAATAATCTTTGTCAATTTTATTTTTCAGTCTTTATGATGGTCGATACTTGATCTATCTCTTCATTGTTACATCCCCGGCAACGCCGGGCTCTACTGCTAGTTAATAATAAAATGAATGGAAATACAAATAACACAGTAAATATATAATAAATGTACATAAAATTATAGTATTTTATGTACACTTTGATAAAATTTCATAAGAAACGTTTTATAAATTAATTAGATACCTTTCTTATGAAATATGAAATTTAATCTCACTCTTAACAGTCTTATTTTAATTTCTTTATAATATATTTTCCATAAAGCATCGTAAACGTAAAGGTGAAAACTAAAAAAAAAAAATTAGAGCGCTGAAAGTTTTAAAAATAACGAGGTAAATAATTTGTTCACTTAAATGTAAATTATTTCACTTTTCTCCTTCCGTAGAACAAATTATCCTCATGGAATCCGTGAATATGTCATTCATTAACTGTCAAGTGACGCGAAAGTTTATGACCTGCTTTGTTTTATTTTTAAATTACATCTTTTCGGCGCAAAAGTTAAGCTTGGTTCAAAATATTTTAAATAAACATAATAATTTCTGGTTTTCTTAAAATAAGTTTTGAAAAATATGATAATTGATATTTAAAAGAATTTCAAAATAAGATTTTCATTTTCTTTATAAAATGAAAAAAAATGGTTGAAATCTGTCAATTGTGCTGACTCAAAAAAAGACAAGATTTTTAACGAAAATTTCGGACGTGCTCGGAACGATTAAAAAATGTAAAAAAATACCCCTAAATACTTTGATCTTTCCTCTTAATAATAACATAAACATTTAGACGATAAAATTTTGTTTTCGTCAAGTTTGGCATCTTTTTCATCATGCTATTGTCTTTTTTAGCGATCTCGTGGAGGTACCTACTTTAATATTAATATTAATAATGACAAATTATGAAACTATTTTATTAAAATTTATTTTATTTTATGTTTTTCTTTTTTTTTTCTTACACTTTTTGGGTTTTTGTTTCTCAACGATGAGTTTTTGTGACGAAGTTCAAGAAGATTCAAGAATCATTATGGCCGACAGAAAAAGACATTAAAGGAGCCGCGTTGGCTATCTTTCGGTAAGTCATTGATTTTAAGAAATTCTTAATTGGCTGGCGTAACTGTTTAGTAAATAGTTAATGCAGTAATATGGTTGCGAGGTTGGTTCAATCAACTTGGTAAAACTTAGAGTTGCTTAGTGAGATTACTGGATGACCAAAGTAACTGCGATAATAATAAAAAAAAAACAAAACGATGGTTTAGAATTTTCTTACAAAAGTATCCTGGATCCGTCCAAAAGAAAGAAACTTTGGGTCTGCGCTCAGAGTTATGCTCCAGCTGCTGATGGCGATGTAGAATCTGTTATGGCTGTACAGGCCCACACGGAAGTGACAGTCTCAATTACCACGAATGCAAGAAAAAGAAAAAACCCGATGTCGCCCTGTTGTTTTATTTCCGCCGAGCACGCTCCTCCTCGGCGGCAAGCCTTCGTTTCTCCTCCTCGCTCCAGTCCTCGTTGTAAATCGCATCTCCAGTAAAAGTAGGTCTGGCTCTCTGTTCCCCAAGAACTGCCTGCGGGTGACATGGCATACGCATACGTGTTTGTGTTGTGCGTGAGACTTACATTTGTTTGTTCCATTTAATGTACGCACATGCATATACACCTACATGTAAAATTTGGATGAGTTTGAAATAAGATATTGGAATAATACGTTCCCCGCCTACTCAGTCTGGATAACTTCTACGCTGGGCTGAACAATAAAATCATAAATTTGAAGACAAGAAAAAGAAAGAAAGAAAGGGAAATTTTAACAGCTTCTGTCCATCAAACAGTTTTTTTACTTACACGTGTGAAATAAGAAATTTCAATAAGAACTAATTAGCTTTTATTTATCTTACCTACTGTGAGAGAACTTTAGTATCTTATCGATAATTATTTAACTCTGTTTCTATTCATATCAAAATATTCATGCCTATCATAACAGTACTAAATAACAGAAACCACATCACTTGAGACTACCAACAGCAGCAACAACTAAAATGGATAGCACATGTAACACGAAGAGAAAATAATGACATAATCATATTTTACACTACTTTACATAAAAGGTTAGTAAAGAAACCCCCATCAATGCTAGAAAGAACGATAATAGCTACTGCACCCGGGAAACCTATTTTCATGAAAATTGTTTCAAGAGAAATATTTTATAAATTTCAAATTGGTGGCTCGGTCAATGAATGCCAAATCTTTTCTTATAGGGAAACGGCTAATATTACCATTACCATTGTCATATATCAAATATCAGTCTATTCGTGCCTATTTATTGATGCCTAGAAGCTGACAGCATAGCTGAATAGAATAATTTTTATTTTTTAGTATAGAAATATGTTAGTTCTGTCATTGAATTAAAATATACACGTACACGCGCAAAAATACGTACAGACGCAATTTGAATGAAATTATAAGGGAGATGTGTATCACAAGGTCTAACTTAATCTCCAGATAACAGGAAAAATACGGCCCTTTAACGTCATTTTTATGAGGTTAAAGGGTCGTATTTCATCTACACACTATCAGTTACTCCAATGTGAGAGGATATTTTCAAAGCTAAAGATCATAAGAAGGTTAAGAAATGTCTGAGGATTCGAAATCATACATGCTATCCATTGAAAATGAATTATTAGATGAATTGGATCTAGAAGCAATTATTGCTAGATTCAAACAATCATCTAGTGAACACAAACGATTGCTCTTAATATGGTGGAGTGCATGCAATGATCTATTGTGCTTTTGAACTAGCTGTTAATGCGTAAACTATGCAGTAAACTATTTAAAAATATCAACCAATTACTTAAGATTTAAAAAAAGAATCTATTATAACATTTTGTATTTACATTTGGTGTCTCAGTCATTCATTCATGTGCCATGCGTGATACACGCTTAATCTATCATGTATCTTTCGATACATGACTGACGAGGCAGATTTTTCCCCGCAATAGGTTGCCATTTCTTTCTGCAGTAGACCAGTTGCCATCCAAGGCTATAAAACCCGGTCTGTCCTACCATTTAACCATAGCTTGGGGTGGGGGAGTAGAAAAGGATTCATACCTTTCCCAATGGTATTAGCACGTAAGTGAATGAAATGGGTTCGACTGGAATTCGAACTCTGCTAGTAATTCCTAAGAAATACGCATTTTTTCCACCAAAATTTTAATTGTACATTTTTTTTTCCATAAGTATTTTTTGAAAATTTTATTTATTCGTTATGAAAATTAAATGATAGCATTGGATTTGTGGGTGGGCCCCTTTATCCACTGGCAACCAATATTTTTAGACCCAGTCCGTCACTGGGTGCCAATCAATAATGAAAACTGATTCATCTAAAATAATAATAATAATTAATACGGCCAATGAAAATTATAATAGAGAAAAAAATTCATATAAAAAGTAACAAATAAGTTGGAGAACAACCAGCAAGAAAATAATTGCAAAGATATTCAATCTTTTGTATTTTCAGCATTGGTCGATTGAATTTCCTACTTGTCGCTTGCCCTTACTTCTTCACCTGTAAGGAAGTTTTCCATCATTCACTGTCATATCGGAAATTAAATATGACATAGCAGTTTAGCACTCTTTTCTTTGTTTCTATACGATGTTTTTTCATCTCTTAATACTTTGCTTTATTTCTGGAAGGCATCTTTCGGTATTCATATGCACCTTTAGATTTCTATCATCTGTTATAACACTTCGACTTCTTTTATGTACCGCGTTCCTTACGGACATAGGCGATAATGGCTATCCACATCTTCCTATCTAGTATATCTCTTAGCAGATTTCCCCCTACCAACCAGTTCCGCCATCCACAAGCTCGTCAGGTAAGTGGCTCGCCGCCTTCCCCTATATCTCTTGACCTCATTATGTCACGTGAGGTTTAAGTTTTCCAAACTCTCCTTCCTCATTACGTGTCCAAGGAATTTCAAGTGTTACCATTTTCTTTCAGACTTTCTTATTGCTTAGTCTCTCTGTCCATGGAATTCTCAGTATTTTTTCTGTAGAAATAACACTTCTTAGTTTCTTACATTTCTGTAACTGCTTGATTTTGGCATCCTCTATCTGTAGCTCAGATCTCGGGCTGTATCTGTTACTGATGACTATACATTGTCTTCTTTCAGTTAATAGTCCTTTCTTTTGGCTTTCCTTTAGTATCTTAGAGTTCCTGCAGTTTACTTTCTGAGTTGCACGTTGTTTGAAAAATTTCAGAGTTCAAAAGTTTTCTACTGGTAATTCATTGATCTGATTATTTTCATTCAACAGACTTAAATGTACCTTAATATGTTATACTACCTTTATAATATTATTAACATTATCATCTCACTTTCCAAAATGAAAATAGCGCCAATCAAAAAATGGAATAATACCGATCCAAACTGAATGATACCAATCAAAATGGAAGAAAAACATATAAAAAAAAAATGGACTTGTTTAACAATAAATTATCGCGTGATTTAAATGGGGCGAATTTGGTTTGTATGAAAGGAGCTAGACAAGTTACATTTTTGTGTCTTGAAGTTTCGGTGAAGGAGCGAAATTCGCTTCGGTACCCACCCCAAGCTTGTTACCCTTAGCAAGTTTAGTGAATTTTAGTATCCGATCCCAGGATTTATTTTCGATCCGTTGAGAAATTCCCATTTTTATTTTTACAGATGTTGAAAAAAAACACAGAGATTAACTTTTTCTTTTTTTTTTAAATTTCTCTCCCAATTATATTTCTCCGTATCCTTTTTCCAGTTGGTGAGTTTTCCACTTGTTTCAGACGTAATTTTTTTTCCCTCTCCAAAAAAACTCTTTTTCCTATGTTTGCTTAGGACGAGTCACATATTACCCCACCCTTTTGTTTATTTAATTCAAACTTTGGATATTTTGTTCCTTTCTTAACAATGAATTATGAATATTTCTTTATTTTTATTGTATTTTTAATTGTAGATCCAGTTCGATTTTTTTTAATTACGTTTTTATTATATTTTTATTGGCACTATTCTCATTTTGAAAATAATTTTTTTATCGTGTTTTTATTCTTCGACCGTTGAAATAAACTGTGTACTCGGCAAGTACCGTATTTGCTGGCATATAAGACCACCATTCTTTTTCAATATTTCCCACGTCTTATATTTGAAGTTCAAGTGTCTGGTGAGCTAATAATGTTTACCCAGCATTTGTACCAAGCCTAACTCTATAATAATTAAATATTTAAATGCAAATAGAGTGGGTTCTCCTACGCATCAAACATGGCGTCGTCTGTTGGGACCTGAGTTTAAGTTTTGTTGGAAATTGCTATTTTACGTAGATTTTATGTTATTTACTTACACGTCAATGAATTCAACGACTTGGAATGTCGCGATTAAAATGCAAACAAATAATAATAATAATAATAATAATAATAATAATAATATGAAGTTTTTGTAAACAATCTTAAAAAATTGCGGTGATCAATCCTTACATTTTTTCCCGTCTTTTCAGAATAATCAACCTGTACCGGCTGAACATAACGGAATTGATGTTGGGTAACATCAAAAACTATACGACCAGCCCAATGACAACAAAGGAAGTTTTTCAGATCAGTCACGTGGCCAGCGACGAGAACATGATCTATGACGAGATTGTTTGGCTGCAAGCTTTGTATAAATTGTTCAAAGAAAATCGAATCGAGAAGGGTGTGTATAGTTTGGAGCATATCGATCGATCCCTGGCCAGCGCGTACAGCAGGGTAAGGTTACATTTTGGTATTGTCGTACAACAAATCAGGTCACAGTTAAAAAATAATTCCCTACACGCAAGTTACCAATTTGCCACTGGATGGCATACCACTAGCATACCGGCGTGTTCGTCTCGGCACTGTTACCACTGGTGGACCGCCAGAGACCCTCCGGTAACACACCAGTGGCTGCCACCAGAGGACCGCTGACATTGCCATCGGCGGCCCGCCAGCGGGACACTAGCGGCTTGCGTGTAGGGTTAGGATAGAAAATATAGATGATTACAACAATAGAAAAAGGCAAAGAAAATACAGATTAATTTTATCTTTAATTTTAGCGATATACATAATTTAAGGTTAACTTGCTTGCATAAAAAGAAAAACAAACGATTATGGAAGTAAGTTCAACGATCTCTGGGTTCCTCACACTTATGACTTTGTACTCGTAAACTAAGGTAATCAGAGTGTCCCACCGTGAAGCAGTTGGGAACAAGGTAATCTCAGAGACATCTTTTTCTAGGCTGATCATTTTGACCGTGTAAATGCACACACACACATGCATATATATATATATATATATATATATATATATATATATATATATATATATGGGTCATTAAAAATAATTGACATGGCACTTCTCTTTAAGTATTTTAATGTATTTTTTGAGTGCGAACAAAGAGATTTCTTTTTTGAGGGTTTAGTGAGTGTAGAAATTGTTCAAATGATTGTTCTTTTTGAGAGCTTACAGAAGTAATTTGTCGGTCACTTTTATGCAATATGTATCAGAGCTGTATTGCTGCACAAATATAAGCAGTTACATATGTGTATATATATATATATATATATATATATATATATATATATATATAATATATATATATATATATATATATATAATATATATATATATATATATATATATATATATATATATATATATGCATCTATTAGTAGATGAAGAATAATAAAAAAATATAAAAAAATAGAATAAATTGTATAGAGGAGAAATTACAGATGATAGAATTTAGAGAACGCGAATAATTTGAAAAACAAAAGGAATTAAATTATTTCGAACTGTCTTCAGGCTGACGTATTAAAACAGTAATTCTTACTTTTTCTTTGTATTTCAGTATGGTATGCCCTGGGAATCGCTTAAATATATTCAAGAATGCCTCGAAACTAGTAAGTTGCTAAAGATGAATTACTATTTACTTGAATATGTTGTGGGTATGTCATATTCTTGATTTTGATATTATCATCTGGGATTATATCATCCGTCCATAACATGTTAAATTAATATTCGTGCGCGCAATAATTACATGAAATAAAATCTGAACAGCTTTTGGTGTGGATGCAACAAGGTATAACACATTTATTAAAGGATGGATTTTTGATTAAACATACCATTGCTTACAATATATATATATATATATATATATATATATATATATATATATAAAAAGTGAACATAGAAGTCAACATTGTTTCATGCTATATGCAATCGTCAGGCCACATAACATGAAACAGGCTGTCACCTCTAAGTGTTGACTTCTATGTTCACTTTTATATTTACACACGTTCTATCTCTGATATTGAGCACTTTATTCCATAAATATCGCACACCTTAAGACTATATTTTTTTTATATATATATATATATATATATATATTCATAGTATTCACAGAACTTATATATCTATCTATATTGATTGGTGAGTATTAGTGTAAAGAAAGAAATGGTTTTAGGCTTATCTGTATGAGGAGACATCTTTCTTGTGAACTGATTTAAGAAAACACGTCTTTCTGGTTCAACGGTTGGCGGTCAGAGAGAGAGAGAGAGAGAGAGAGAGAGAGAGAGAGAGAGAGACTGTGAAAATTCGTGCCCAAACTGTATTTCTGGTGCATTATGGAAATTCTACTTCCCTTCCTTTGCTATAACCTAACAAAGCAGAGGAAGTAACTCCTACTTCTTATTTATGCATCACTACAAATACACGGAAATTTTATTTAGGCACAAAGCATTTAATAACAGAAACAGGTTGTGCAATAGCCAGTAGTAGTAGTAATTAAAAAAAATAAAACGATTTGTTATTTTCTGGTTGATAGCAGTCGCTCTTTATTCGGGAGTCGTATGGAGACAGAATGAGAACTCTGACAAGGTTTTCTTACTTTAAACCATCTAACTAATTTGCAGCAGCGTGAATTGCAGTGACTTTCCAAGCATAGCTTAGATGTGGTACAAGGCCGAAAGTAGGAGGGTACCCAGTAAGGATCGAACTCACTACTCAGTCGAAATTGTTCGAGCGAAACAAACTTGCTAACCATTACACCGCCTCGAGGTGCCCAACAGCTGCTTGAATTGCATGTGATGAATAACTTGTAGTGCTGACCAATCATTAATAACATACTGAGTAGTGTAAAATGGTTGTTCGATTTGTTAAGAAAAAAATTTAAAATATTTTAAAAATAATCTCCGACATTTGCGTTATAGAACAACACATTTAATGTTTTGCTTCACTGTCGTCTGCCATGTTTTAGTCAACTTTATAATTCTATCCTCCTTAAAGTTTTATCATCCTCAACAAAAGATGCAATAATTGCTGACGAGCAAAAGTTTTCAGCCAAAAATAATTTCTACCTGATCAGGAAAGAAGCACACTCGCGTTTTACTGATGCGATATTTCCGTCCTTTCCATTGCCTAATTCCTGACGCTTTTCGACAATGGATGCCTTCAGTGAGTCTAATTGGGGGGCAAGACGCGTTCAAATAAACCATATAAAGATAGGCAAGATTACAAGATAACAAGTCGCTAACGATCCGTAGGATCTTCAGGAACAACGCGAACTTGGTGTCCGCGTAGAATTATGTTTTTCTTTCTATTCACACATGGAGCTGGTTGTTGTTTGCATTGGAAAAGACACAGAGTATGCTGAACTCTTCGGGGTGTTGATTCAGTAATCACTTCAATCGAATTACACGGTATTACCGGGCCTTATTGAACATGAACTGCCTTATCCTCATCATTTAGGCGATGTCCCAACCTGAAAAAATACTTGGTTGTTTTGGTCACCGGAAAATGACAAGCCGTTCATATTGTTGATTTGGTTGTTAATCGCAGACTCGGCCGCCCAATATCTGGATCTGATTGTTGTTCTCACTAGAGAAGAACCAGCAATTCACATTCTTGACTTGATTGTTCTTCCCATTGGTCAAGAATAAGCTGCTCACCATCTGGACTTGATTGTTGTTCTCAATGGGGAAGGACCACAGACCTGAAAATATTTAACTGCTTTCGTAGAAACATAGCGAAAATTTTGAACGTCGATTAGACGATACGACTAGACGCTAGATGTAACCGCCAGCTTGCGAAACCTTTCAACTTGCCTTCAACAGGCTGGTCAAGTGACCAACAGCTTAGTCCTATATGTTGTATGTGGTACTGTGACTGGCTACTTGGTGCGTCATAATAGATAGCAATAGTAAAGTCCAAGAAAAAGTATCTTGCTCACACTAGCATATTGGTCTGCAAAAAGAGTCAGCTAAGTATCACATTCTAGAATGTGCATTTGTTGCTTCATTGCTGAAGTTCATTCCTGATTTTTTTTTTTTTTTTTTTGTTAGCGTTATTTTCTCTTGATTTTTCTTTTCTAAGAACCGGACAACAAAGGCTGTCTAAGAGATAAGGTCTATTACGAGATGAAAGTGAAAGACATTCCTGCCACTTCAAGAGAGAAGAAACTCGAAAAAGAAAATAAAACTGAAGATAAAATAAAATATGAAGCCTTATGCCGTGGAGATAAACTTTTGGTAAGTATAACGAAAATATCAAAAAGACATTAACAAGTATCATAAAGATTTATGTCAATATTAGAAATGTGTTAATAAATAGAGATTTTAATATAGTAATTATCTAAGCATAGCTTAGATATAGAACAAGACCGAAAGTATGTGTCGTAATTAATCTATAGTGAGACAAGCTTGTTAACGTCGAGGTGCCCCACGGTGAGGTGCCTATAGATGTATTCATTAATTAAACAAATCTCATCAAATGACCAAACATAATTTTCTTTTTTTTAATTTTATTTTGTTTTTGATCGCACTAACAACGTTTCAGCATAGCTTAGAATTTATTCCCATTATGTTTATGGTTTATCAACCTTTTGTAGGTTATTTAAAGCCAGAAAATATTTTTAGATTGTAAGAATATTTTTTGGAAATAATATTGTTTTAATGATGCAAGTTCTACTACTTAAGTCATAATTGGGGAGGAGAGGTGGTATATTCATACCTTCCCCAAGGGTATTTGAGTTTCTGTGCATGCCTAAAGTAACATATTAAAATACACACACACACACACACACACACACACATATATATATATATATATATATATATATAATTATTTATTTAAAAATATGATTCCAAGCGAAATTTTTTTTGGAATAACTTATTTCACTTGTTTTAATAGCATATTCATTATTGAAATCAAAATTTCCATGGTAACAGCCAGAGCGAGTTATTCCAAAAAAAAAATTCGCTTGAAGATGGAACAGAGCTTACTTTAATTCAATTTAGTTCAAATAATTATATTGAAGTTTTCGGCTCTTGTTTTGAAACATGAGACCTCATGTAGCGTATTGGAATCATATTTTTAAATAAATAATTATATTTATGCTCTACTTTTTTATCGAGCACTATTTTTTTAAAAAATAATAACAAAAATACTAAAGAACTTTGGATTATTTACCTAACGAGTTCTTTCCTATTTTCTATATATTTTCACATATATATATATAGAGAGAGTAGATATGAGAAATAATTTTACACTAGTTGAGAAAGATTACATTTTTTAAGTAGCGTCTATATTCATCTTCCTACAAACGTATCATTACTGAGGCATTTTCCACCACAGCCCCTCAGTGTTGCAGGCTCTAGTGCTATGATTTATGTCTGAATGTTATTCTTCAGTTGTTGGAGAGTCTGGGGCTTATTTACAAAAACTTTTTTCTTTGGGATAGCCGCATAGGAAGAACTCTGGGCTTATCAAATCCGGGGAACGTAGTGGCCAGTTTATTATTCTTTTCCTCAAAATTTGTCTGAGAAGATCGATTGTGGCTCTTGTCGTATGATCTGTTACCTCATCTTTCTGTCCAGAAACAGGTTAACGCTTTTAAAAAATTCGTTAGAGTGTCGTTCGAGTGCTCCAAACCTCCAGAGAGACCCCCTTCGAATGTGCGCACGTGGATCTTCTTCGATACTTTCTCTTATTTGCTCAAATACTCCTTCGTTCCTAACCGAACATGCTATAACAGTTCGTGGAAGGTCACTTACTGTTATGGTGAAACACCCCTATTCTATAGTTAATAGACTCTCCCACCTGATATAAGTAGGAGTGGTAAGAGAAACGAGGGTCATTCGATGTCGGACGACCGGCTGAACAGTTGAACTCTCTGCCTTCGGGCGGGGAGGAACCCGAACGAAGCTACGCCGAAGGGCAGAGTCTCGTTCGGGGAGGTAAACCGACCCTGAACCCGTTTATACGGGTTGTTTTAATATATTCTCCCAGCCGAACAATATAGAGATCCCATAAACCGGCCTTGTGCCACATGATTTTTGTTCTTGTTGTTTGAGTCGATGTCGGACGACCAGCTGAACGGTTTAACTCTCTGCCCGGAATGTATGCTTTTTCAGGCAGCGTCTCGTCTCATAATAAACCGACCCTGAACCCGTTTATACGGGTTCAAAGGGTATATTTTGGCCGAGCACTCGGGCTGGAGATCCCACGTTAAACAGGTCTTTTACATATACCCTCGTGGGAGGGTGATAAATACTAGTCGATGTCGGACGACAGTTAGTATAATACGAAAGTATCAGCGACCACAACAAGATTACTCTTTAGGTTTACCTATCAAGCTCTAACGTTTTGAAACGTCGAACCTATTTTAGAACCGATTTAGTACAAATACAAGCCTCCACTGCGAAATCACTCCACAACACTTACTGAACCTTTACTCTCAAAACTTGGAAAATCTTTTTGGTTTTGGTAGAACATTTTCATGAATTGTGTTCATTTTTCAGTGATATAGTTTTATTTTGATTAATTTCCAAAGCTTCCTTTATAAAATACCTGGAAAGAAACTTTAAAAGTTAATAAATAAAAACATTCAAACTTTCAGACCCCTTGTTGTCTTTCATAACACACTTCACACACACACACACACACACACACACACACACACACACACATATATATATATATATATATATATATATATATATATATATATATAATACTGAAACTGGTTAAAGGTCAGAAGGTTAAACCAGGAAACAGTAGTAATTAAAAAGTGCTCAATACACGTGAAAAAATAAAAATAAAAAATTAACATGTAGAGCTTTGAAATTTAAAAAATTAAGAGATCAGTCGATTCCGCTACCTCGATTTTAACCTTTCGGTATCGTTAGGTGGTTTGTATAAATTGATTTCCCAATGATGTGATTATACTATCTTCCTTTGAAACTGCCTTCAGTACATCCTATATTTGTTTTGTTTTGGCCATCTGTATCTATTACTTCTGCTTTATAAATTACTGTTTCGGTTTCGCAAACTTCATTTAATGGACATTTACTTTTATTTCTACAATTGCATAATTCACTAGTGTTAACTATATTTTGCTGCGCGTCATCTTTTAAATATCTGGTATTTTGTCTTTTTATTATTGTTTCTAAATTACTAGTACAGCTGTAGCTTAATTTAACAATGGTTTTTATTAAATATCTTATGTAATTCTGAATGTGGGGAGCAGTGTTTAGTAATTTGAAAAAATATCTTCCCTATTTTCATCTAAGTTTAAAGGTGGGTTAAACCAAATGATGTTGTTTCTTTTCCTCGAATTGTTTTTCATTTGTTGTTTATTTGAGGTTTAAATTCCAGTTTGGTTTCATGTCTCTCTTCTATTAAGGTCTTCTCATATTTCTCATATTATTTTACTTGAAGAGTTTCTAGATAGCCTAGACTCTATTCTGTTAGGGATGTGCTTTATTATATTGGCAGTGTGGATTTAACATTCTCATGTATTTCAATTTTGTGTTGGGTTTCATGTATGGAAGGACACTGGCAGTTTGTAGGTTTTATTCTACGTCCAGATACTTGACACCTTTTTTTTTTTTTATTCATTTCGACTTCTATAGTCTGACACCCTTCAGATCCCCTTCATTATGAAGATTGGTGCATAACAATATTACATTTCCTGTTACCCCCATGTACACACTATTTAGCGCTGTGCTAAGTTTATTAAATAAATACTTGTATTTCACCTCAATCTAGAGTAGTTGTTACCAAAATGATCTCGCAAAATATTCCAATGTTTTCTTGTTTATCATCAATTGGGTTCACTGAAAGCAGACACAAAAATCTGATAGAATCCAAGTTTTTTTTAAGTAGCAATTAGCGTCTAGTTCTTAATTATATATACCGTATTAAACACGGTCAAATAAGGAGATTCTGGGAGTATTTGGAAGATTATCTTGCGTCAGTCATTCGGGTAGTTGTCCTACTGCCTAAAAAGAAAATCAGAATTCATAATCTTAGGCTTTATCTGGTTCCAAATACGGAACTGGTGGAAAAAACGTGATTATGAAAAACGACGAAGTAAGCACTAATATTTAGTAAGTCATTTACAATTGTAGCGTAGTCAGTCAATTATATGCCATGCGGGATACACAAGGCAGATTTTTTTCCCCGCAGTAGGTTGCGATTTCTTTCTGAGGTAGACAAGTTGCCATCCAAGACTATAGAACCCGGTCTGTCCTGCTATTTTTTATAGCTGGGGAAGAAGAGGATTCATACCTTTTCCAAAAGTATTTCGAAAGTGAATGTAATGGATTCGATTGGAATTCGAACTCGGCTCTCGATTCCAGGAAATCCGAGCCGCTATCCATTAAATTCCAAAAATGCCTCCGTCTTTAGTTAGTATAGAACTGAAATGCACACACAAATTTGTTTGCGAGCCTATTTGCACCTATAAATATGCATGAGCGCCATGTCATTTAATGCCGCTTCTCTCTTTGCTAGTCAGATACCGCCGTTGCCAGACAAAATGTTTCTTTCGTGCAATGTCGGTTCCTTACGAAAGACTGAAAAAGAGGAATTTTTTCAGCTTCAATAATGTGAATTGCAATATCATGATATCATCACGCCATCGGAAATTAAGCACATTCAAGAGCAGTCAAGAAAGAAGGTAAGATATCTTAACTCACAATCGTAGACCACAATTAAAAATATATATATATATATATATATATATATATATATATATATATATATATATATATATATATATATACATATATATGAACAATGTATACGGAATAAATTCCAATAACCAACAATTACTCTTCTTAAAAGAGTGCTCAATACAGAGTAGAGCAGATATAATTATTTATTTAAAATTATAACATATGTTATAAAATCACTACAAAAATAGCCATTTTGTTTCAACACCTCTGGTGTCTTATCAAGTGATGATGTTAAATGTAAAATAAATGGTTTTAAAAGTTTCAAATTAATTAACGATCCTTTGCAAGGGGAAAACGTTGTTACAAAAGCTAGAATGACCAATCAAAACCCAAGTATAGGAAAAATTCAAAAAACTTTACAAGGAAGTAAGGTTATAATAGCTATTAAGAGCTTTAAAGTTGGGGTTATATTAAAAAAGAATTTATTCTAACCAATAAGTATTAAATTTTATAATAAAATTTGATATTAAGATTAAAAGTAAAAAATTACCCATTTTAAAATGTAAATTAATCTCTGTTATATATATGTATAATCTTTTAAAAAAGAGGGAAACCGCAAACGTTTTGGTTATAATGTAGATTTCTTTTAGTATATATATTATATTTTATGCCTCATATTCCTGCTACCCGTGTTTCCGGTCTCATGACCTTCTTCAGGAAAATAAAAGGAATACATTTTTAAAAGGATGTAATATATATATATATATACTAAAACAAATCCATATTATAACCAAAAATGTTTGCGGTTACTCTCTTTTTTTAAAATATACATTTTTCTCTCGTTTTTCTATAACCGAAATATTAGTTTCTCTCTAAATCTAGAAATTATATATATATAAAATATATATATATATATATATTTTATATATATATATATATATATATTTGTTTCGTTGAATATAAGAAAATAAAATTTTATGAATTTTTTATTTATTTTTTCCAGCAAGGAATGGAAAAATTAAATAAAAATTCCTCAAATTTTCCTTCTCAGTCATATTCAACGAAACATGTTTAAAAAAAAGGTTGTTGCCCAAGTATGCATTTTATATATATGATAAAATATAGTTTTAAGGTATGTTATATTTATGGATAAAAGTGGTCAATATCAGAAATAGGGCGTATGTAAAGGTAAACACCAAGCGGCGACAGTCTGTTTGATGCTTGATTGCTATCTTCAGGCTATCTTGTTTTATTACGCTATCTATCTATCTATCTATCTATCTATCTATCTATCTCTCTCCCTCTCTCTCTCTCTCTATATATATATATATATATATAGACAGAGAGAGAGAGAGAGAGAAAAGAAAGAGATTGTATAATAAAACAAATAAAGACGCTATAAGAAAAGTTTTTTGATGTTAAAAGTTAAAATTTATATAAACAGATTTAAAATAAATAAAATATATATATATATATATATATATATATATATATATATATATATATAAAACGATATTCAAATATTGCAGCCATTTTGCGGCTTAAAGTTTTATATGAACTGATCCCAGTTTGTTATGCAGCAGAATCACAATCTTCAGGCAGTTCAAGGGGCACGATGCACAATTCTATATTTAGCTAACATTATATGTAATTATAGTGTCAGTCTTTGATGCTTCAAACATGCCAAGAGGTAAATGACGAAAGAATAAGACAATTCTTTAACTTACACACATGTACACATACATGGCCTCATTTTAACTACGACTTTCGAATTTGCCATAGTCGTGGTCGGCAGTTATTGTGCCGGTTGTTCATTTTGTTTCCGCCATGAATTATCAGAAGGATTTGAACCCGATCTGTGTTGGCAACTCAGTAATTCAGTGCTACTGTCTTCAATTTACTGTAAATACATGTGCCGTAGGAAATTGTCACGCTGGTGGGATTTTTTCAACATAAAATAAACGGGGAATTTTATTTTATATTATTATTTCTGTAACAAAATAATCGTGCCGCGGAGAAAAATATTCAAAAACAAAACTGTGCCGTACCAAGTAAATATCGTATCGAGCAGAAGGTTAAAAAAATAATTTAATCGTACCGAGCTGAAAATTAAAGAAACTAATTTAATCGTGCCTGTACGTCTGCGCCATATTGGGCTTCGATTAGCCTTGTAGAGTCTTTCCCGTCGACACCGTGATAAAAAAAGTTAAAAAATCAATTGTCTCAAATGATTTTAGGCATATGATAACAAAACATTAGCCACTATTTTTGGATACGATTTACTATCCCTAATTCTTTTAATCTGATACAACAGATTGATACTGTTTACACGTAGACAATCCTGCAACATGATACAGTCTAGTTTGCATTTACCCGTTGCTATTTGTTCTAGCTTTTCAGATCTAAGGTTATTTCTGGAGACAATAACCAGTTAAACAGCGAATGGATGCATCGTGTGAGCCAAAGGCAAGTATTTACAAAATCGTATTGTATTTACCTTGTATTTCATATTATAATTTTTTTTCATAAATTTTGACAACTTAGAAAAAGATCCTAAACGTTTGAGTACGCGCACAAAGACTATATATATATATAGATAGATAGATAGATATAGATATAGATAGATATAGATATAGATAGATAGATAGATAGATAGATAGATAGATAGATAGATAGATATAGATATAGATAGATAGATATATATAGATATAGATAGATAGATAGATAATATTAGTGGTAAATATACACATACATATGCAAAATATGTAAATATATATATATATACATACCTGCATACATATATATTTTTTGAATAAAAAAAATTCCAAGAGGATAGAATCCAGGTAGAACTCAATGTCCATGACAGATTAAGGATATAATAAAAAGGCTTAAACATTAATATTCCATGGTCATAATTTATTCCATTGAAATCGTAAATTACGGATCAATTCATCAGACCTACAAATTCATAAAGAAAACAGAAAAAACAACTCCGGAAATAAAAAATAGAATTTAAAGAGAGTGTAAGTATGAGAGTGTGGGACGAATGTTAGAGCTAAAGAGAGGGGTAACAGACGGGAAAAGGTGGGGGATTAAAATTTAACAGAGAGAAGTTTTATATATTGCTAATTTATTTATTATTACTACAAAAATCTACATATACTAGACTAACTGTGACCCATTGTGTCACTGACGCTTCAGTTTAAAAAAAACATTGAAGCTAA